AGTCTACATCACCAGAATCAATACCACCCGAGTCTACATCACCAGAATCAATACCAACAGAACCTACTCCAACAGCCCCTACACTACCAGAATCTCTACCCTCAGAGTCAACGCCACCTGAATCTATACCCCCTGAGTCTACAGCATCCGAAACACCAAGTATACAGACACCGAACGAACCCCCCCAAATTACTGAGGGCCGTACCAGTCCCCCTGAAAGTCCCCAGGAGCCAACCAAGGCTGCCAGTGAGACCATTGGTAGCCCTGATGTAACGCAACCTGGTATCACGGACCAGGGGACAGCCATTCGCCCTACTTCTACTTCTAGCCCCGCAGGCGAAATAGACCTCCAAGACGCTGATCTGGGTCCAAACGCAAGGTTTATCTTAATCGGCGGTGAGCCAGCAATGTATGTGCACCCAACAGCTGCTTTACATTTGCTATATACTAACATCTGCCCTAGTCTGCTAACAGCCCCACCTAACGGCGAGGCATCCTTCAGTCTCAACATAAGTTTACCACCAAATATCACGCCCGGGGAACTCGTCAACCTGCTAGCATCAATCAGAGTTGAGTCTAATGGGACGTCCATGCCACGAGCCAGGTCTCTCTTCAGGCGCGAAATGACAGGCTCTCGTCTCCGGATGATTCTGGATGAGAAGTCTATCTATGATAAAGAACTTGAGACTACTGGCGGTAAATTCCAAGAGGTGAAGAGTGAAAAGACTAGTATTTCGGACCAACCTAGTATCAAAATGGTCCAGAGGTCTGGGAGTAACCCAGTGGCTCTTACAGTTCGTGGCCTCTCGCTTGTAAAGGCAGAGAAGCAAACCGCCCCATCGGAGAAGCAAACCGCACCAGCGGAGAAGCAAACCGCACCAGCGGAGAAGCAAACCGCACCAGCGGAGAAGCAAACCGCACCAGCGGAGAAGCAAACCGCACCGGCGGAGAAGCAAACCGCCCCAGAAGAGAAACAAACCGCACCGGCAGAGAAGCAAACCGCCCCATCGCAGAAGCAAACCGCACC